AAGCTGCATGTTTCTCATCGTTTGCTGCTTCTTTCGTTTCTTGGCTGTGAAAACCCCGCAGCGGCCCATTCGGACCTCAAACTCCATCAGTGCCAGACTGAATGTATCCAGCTAAGTTAAGCAAGAATCATTGCTTTTTGCTTTGCCAGGTCAATTTGTTCCATGGTCTTATGGACCAGAACTGGCACCAACCTTAGGCCATTTTGGCCAGGTAACCAGACAGAGCAACCAAACATCTTTCAATTGCTCTCTTCTGCACTGAACTCCCGTGACATCGGCATGCTACCTTTTTGATGCAGCCGAGAAATTTCTCATCAGACCAAACATGATGCAATCGTGGGTTTAGTCTTGATGTCAAGACGTCGTTTGCAATGTGCCAAACATAATGATGCTTCGGTTTCATTTTGAATGCCATGATTGAGTTTTCCCAGCAAATCGACGCCAAGAACTCAGTCGACCGAAGGTGGACCCGCAACATCCTCGAAATTTCCTGAGCTGATTCGCACGTATTCAGACATGCTAGGAGGGGTTGGGGCAAAAAACCATTGAAAGATCATGAAAGATCGCAGTGTAGGCATGCGACGGCTGCCTCATGGGGGGACAATATGAGACCAGAGCTGTCCATCAGATCCTGAGCCTGCGCCAAGGAATAGCTGCAAGCTGCAAGGAGCCGGAGAACTTGATCTTCCTGGGACGACACTTGGCGCACACGGGGCCAAGGCGATTGCGGTTTTCCCAAGCTATACACTGGCATAAAATACATAATACAATTGTATAATGTTCCAAATTGAGGAGCAGTATTGTTGGTGAGTTGGCGAACCTTGAATGCAACCCACCACACCATCACTCGGATATGAGCGGCCTTAAATCTGGAGCCCAATTCGCAATAGTCCTCTGTCCCAAAAGACCCACAGTTGGAAAGAGTCAGGACTCTCTTTGGCAAGTAAAGCCTCGATTGACCAATGTCGAAAGTCGAATAGCGTCGAATACAAACACCAGGCTGCAAACCCGAGGAACATTATAACTAAGAACTAGAAAACTAGACAAAAGGAACGGCTAAGTGGCCATACTAGGAACCTGTGTTCTTTGCAATCCTGCTTCATCTCGATGGAAACCCGCTTCAGGAACTTCTCATTGGTCTCATCAGAAGACTCATAGTAAAACCCCCAAAGTTTCAATATCTTGAGGCATGAAGGAACGTGGTTCTTGGCTATGCCTAAATAAATCAGGTGCATCGTGTCAAACGATATGGTCTCAAACTGAAACTCTTCCACTGCGCACCACGGGGTTGGATGCCTTGCTGCTGCCATGTATGCATCGTGGTCCTTGCAAGTTCGAGCGTACGGTGCATCTTTGGCAGTGTTCTTATATGTCATAGGATGAGGCCGTGAATCCATGGGTTGAATGGCGCCGCATCGATCGCAAACTTTCTTGCACCTGTAGTAATTGTCTAGTAGGTGGCATTGCATCCTCGCTTTGAGGTCAGCTTTGAAAGTCATGTAAATGAGCCTCGATCAGGGCAAGCAATCAAAAGAAATGCACACTGCACACTTTTGTGATTGCGTGATAAACACACAAAGTTTTAGGGACCCTCGACCTGTATCCCTGTGCAATTGGTTGCCCACACCGGGAAGACCTGAAAGAGCCCTTGTCAAAGCACTCACCGTAAAATCCACGGCTTTGATATATTCCCTGACCACTGCAGTGGAGTGACCATGCCACCAAGTCAGCGAGTGTTTTGTTGACGCTCCTTCGGACCTCATATGGCGTGAGTGGGCAGACATCGAGAGGTTTTGGTTTTTGGCAGGGAAAGAATATCATAGCGTTCCCAGTGTGTGGGGTGATCTCATCAAAGTGTAGTGGCAAAAGACCATAATGGTAAAAGACCATATTAAAGAGACTGCACTGGGCCCGGCTGGGCCCTCGCCTGAGCCATTGGGGAAGCCTTTGAAGTTTGGGGTCTTTTGCCACTTGCGCTATCCATGTCAAGAATCCTGTTCATCGTTCATCTGGACTTCTGCAACAAGAGAAATTGGGAAGCGACTCATTAGGCAGTCATGTCCAGCACCAGCCCCAAAAGCGCTAGACCAGCTCATCACAAAGTATTCACTGTGTTTGTGAAACTCAGCCCCATCACCATGAATGGAAAAGGGGATTGTTCGTTGTAGGTCCTCCTCCGCAAGCTCATGAAGCACACGATGATATTTATAGTCCGGTAAGGTCTTGAGATGTTGTCAGAACTTTGAGATGGATTTGCCATCGTGGCTCCCACACATGATAGAGCGAAACTGGCAGGGACAAGGGAAAGGGTTTTGGTTTGAAGGGAAAAACTGTCATGTGAATGTGACTTTGAGCCCCCCACCTTCGCTTCCCCCATATCACTCAAAGCACCAAAGACTTCGTGCGGCAGCAACACACTTGCCTGCACCGGCACAGGATCTTCATCTTTTTCAACCTGGGGAGCGCGCGATTTCGGTTTTCTGGGATGGCAAGGTGCTGGAGTCGGCGGTCACTAGGGGGTTGATCAGGAACAAACAAATATTGAAGTCTTTCCAAAAAGCCTGCAGTGTCAAGGTGATGGTGTAAGGCTCCAGGTTGAATCTATTAGACCCTCGAAGAAGTCGTTGGAAATCTCTCTCCGTGTTTCCATCACATTTACCATAGGCACCACAGGCAGCAAGTTGCTGGAGTTTCGGATGCGCAGAGTTGTTTGAATCCCGATCCACAGCCCGGGCAATTTCAGCTGCAGTTTGCACATGGGCATCACCCCTGCCCACCAGCTCCAAAAGCTTGTCTAAGACTGAGCTCTCGCCCCAAGAAATCGGCTCCAGTGTTTTCCTTCTTTTTGCGTTTTCACCTGGCAAAGCCGGCCCAGTAAAGACCAAAAACAAGCACTGTGGCACCATTCCTTGACTGGATGATAACTGATAACATGATCTGAATTAACATAACAGTATCTTTGGTGTGGCTTTGAATTGGTGGAACGGTTCCTCCTTTACATGTCTTTACTGGTAGCTACACAGAGCCACACGAAAGGCTTTTCACACGGCGTGACAATCTTCAGATTGTGTCCAAATCTTCACAGGTTTCCTCCATGCTGCTTCAAGCATGGCAAACCCCAGAAAAGAAACCTAAAGGGCTGAAGAGCTCCTATGGCGCGGCTGAAGCCTTACCCTTGCCCTTACCCTTTGTGGAGCGCTTTGGCTTCTCAGAATCGCCCTTCAAGATCCCAGCAGCCGATGCCTGATCAGGGAAGCGTAACCCCCAACCCCAATACAGTAAGGCGATTGGCATGTGTTCTGAAAAGAATAATATTGGAGATGGTGAAAGAAATATTAATCAAAAGGGTATTGTGCGTTTGTCGACCCTCACCTCAGCTTTCTTGAACCAGTTCTGCTTGGCTTCAATCTTTGCAAGAAAAGTAGTGATGCCAGGCTCATCGGGTGGCTGGCTCTGAACACGCTTCTTCAGGTCTGAGTAGAGACCCTCCATATTTTCAGCGTGTTTGAGTAATTCTCCAGCAAGCTGATCAGCGAACTCTAGACCCTTGAGCTGGATGGACTTGGAACGAGCCTTTGTCGCTTCGTCAAGGACTTGCTGGAGCTTCTCTTGGCCTTTCCTGGGCAGAGCAACGACGCTTGGTGAGGCTTGCGCACACGGTTGGGAGAGTACGTGGTTTGGAAGATACTTGGGACATCTACCAAGCTCATTTTTCGATGACGAATTCCTGCACAGCTAAGAAGACTTTAGGCGTGACTTTAAGGCCAGCATAAAAAATTCTCTAGTGCCCCCTTGAGGCCCTGGCATCAAAGTAGTCTTTGGTTCCACTGGCTCAGCTTCCTTCTCTTTTCTTCGCTGCTTGAGCTTTTCAACTTTGCTGTCGTCGCCCTGCAGGGCTTGCAGCACTGCGCGCTGGCCGGCCTCTGACGCGGCCTTGACGCCAGGCAGGGCGCCTGCCGGGAGAACTCCTGTCTCGTCACATGTCAAGGCGTCCAGCAATGGTTGATCAAGGTTCCTGCTAGCTGTAGCTTTCAGGGTTTCGCTGGTCTTGTCGTCGCGGCGAAGCATTCTCCCACTGGGCATGTATATCCAGTTCTCCTGAAAAGGGGTAGGTCACGGAAAGGATAAGGGGCGGGCACCGGTTGAATACACAAGAAAAGGAGTGGGATGAGTGCTTTTTGAAAAAGAATGTGAAAGGAATACATTTCAGAACACCAGTCCAGCTCATCTTCTGGGAAGTCATCATCTTTGTAGAAGAGCCCCGCTTCCATCCGCTTGCGGATCAACTCGGTGAACCTGGCTTCTGGAAGCCGCTCCTTTAAGGTTTTGGCTTGGATAGCAACCCATTCCTTTCGTGAGAGGTTCACAGTCTCCTGCGCCCGCTCAACAGCGCACGCCACACTGTCCCATTCACCACCATGGTCCAACCATAAGTTGAACAGGTCTGTTTTCTTCGACCCCTTCAGCATTGGCCTGAGGGATGCAGGGAAGCCCCCCTTGAGGCGACTTGATCTGGCGGTCAAACTTGTCCCATTCGGTCTTGTTGGTTTTGCCTTGGCTGCTGCTGGAACTACTGACTAGGGTTTGGGAAATGCAACAGGCCTTTCAAAAAGCTTTTGAGTGGAAGTGCCATAAGATATTCTTTCACATGTATTGACTGAAGCAATACAAAAACATGCAAAAGCAAATGGAGGAAAGTCGCTGTTTCTTTTGGTTTTCTGAACCGCCGCTGCCAACGCTCCTTTTGTTTTCTCCTCCTTCCCCTCAGCTTCCTCCTCATCCTCTTCGCTTTCGGCTTCTTCGTCGTCTTCCTCCTCCTCTTCCTCTTCTCCCTCTCCTTCTTCTTCCAGCTCTGTTGCCTCTCCTTCTTCTGCCTCTGCTTCTGACTTTTCTTCATCTCCTTCTTCCTCTTCTTCTTCCTCCTCTGGCAGTCCCTCTCCATCACCCTCCTCTTCTTCTTCTTCGTCCTGGTCTTCACATTCTTCTCCGTCAGACTGGCCCTCCTCAACTAGGTCACCAGCGCCCTCATCAGCAGAGCCAAACAAATCCTCCTCCTCCTCCTCCGCCTCGCTTCCATCACCTTCAGCGTCCTCTCCGTCCTCACTCTCACTGGTGGAGGAGCTATCATCGTCGCCTTCTTCTTCTTCTCCCTTTTCTTTCTTCTTCAACTCCTTTGCTACTCGCCGCTGCTCCTCCTTCAGCTCAGCAGTCTGGCCAGGGTCTGCCAACTGCCTTCCAGAAGACAGACCATCCAGCAGGTCCAAAATATCATCGCCGTCCTCCTCTGCCTCCTTCAGCGCCTCGTCCAAGCTGCCATTCAACTTCATCTTCTCGAAATGCCGCTCTGCCTTCTCCTGGCTAGATGCATAGCGAGTGCTGCTGGCATCAGTTGCAACACTAAGAGAGCTGCCAGCAGGGGACTTCATCCTGACTCTCTTTGGGGGTGGAGTTCTTGGCGCTGGGAACGATCCCCTTTTCGAAGACTCAGCCTTGTCATCGAAAGTCTTCTTCTCCTTTGGCTCTTCTCCATCTGTCGTCTTCGTTTTCTTGTCCTTTCCCTTTGTCTCCTGCGAAACCTTACCCTCGCCTGCCTCCTCCTGGCTCTTCTTTTCCTTGTTCTTCTTCTCACTCTTCTTCTCACTATCCTTTTGCTTCTTCTCCTTCTTCTCACTATCCTTTTGCTTCTTCTCCTCCTTCTCACTA